TCCCACCAGGTTTCAGTGATGCCTATTATATCATATTTGCTTGGTTGTTTCAGTAATGCCTATTATATTGTATTTGCTTTGTTTTAGGCATCCCAATTTTTTTTTTAGAAGTCAGAGTGTGATTCAGCATTTCTTGTTAATTGGCTGCAATCACCTGTATTGATTAACACAGCTTTGCTACATTTAACCCTTTATTCTGTTGTAAAATACATGCAACTACTAACATCTTCCATGATATAACAAAGTGAACATAATTATCTAAGAAGTTGCTGGCTTTCGCTCTCCCTGCCTGGGCCAAAGCAAGCTCCCCATCACCAGATATGGAAGAGTGATCAGTGATTGGGCTCTTATGGGCCACTTTACAAGCAAATGAGACTGGACTGCTAGTTCCTGAGTGCAGAGCAGGGAGGCTGAGGGTCCCTATGACAGCAGTGGTAAATCTGCTCTGGATTTTATTGTACACTTAAAGAAGCTACCCCAGGCATTTTGGGGAAAGGGTTCAGTACCTTAGAATCATAGAGTTGGAAGAAACCCCAAGAGCCATCCAGTCCAACCCCCTGCCATGCAGGAACTCAAAATCAAAGCATCCCAGATAGATGGCCATCCAGCCTCTGTTTAAAGACTTCCAAAGAAGGAGACTCCACCAAAATCCCCGAGGGAGTGTCTTCCAATGTCCCAACAGCTCTTAATGTCAGGAGGTTCTTCCTAATGTTGGGGGGAATCTCTTTGCCTGTAGCTTGCATCCATTGCTCCATGTCCTGTTCTCTAGAGCAGCAGAAAAAAAGCTCGCTCCAGCCTCAAGAAAGATGATACCCCTTCAAATACTAAACAGGGCTCTCATATCACCTCTTAACCTTGTATGGCTGCCTTAAAATTCAGACTAGCGCATGGAAGCCACTAAGCACCCTGATGGTGTATGGCATCCCTGAACCAAGATGATTTTTACCCAAGCAATAAGCTCATCAATATGTTCTACCACAGTTGCTTCCAGGCAGAAGAGTGGCAGAAACATATCTTCAATTGCATCAATTAACAGTTAATTGCTAATTTGGAGTCAAAAGGGTTCAAACAGCTGCCATGGTCAGGGAAGGTCTCAATGCTCAGAATTTGGTTGACGGGATGAGTGATTCTGGACTCCATTCCATCACATTTCCCTGCAGAGAAGGAGGAGATCCAAAGATGCATTGCTTCTATTCCCTTCAGTATACGAAAATAAGGTTGGAAATTCACTCTGTAGGGATGGAACAACCTGCTTTGAGTTTCATTAATGCCTCAGCTCCAGTCAGGACATGATTTCAGCCCATTCTATACTTGATTTACAGGCCTAGTACTCAGCTCCCCGGAGGACTTCATTAACAGCTTTGGATTTTACATCAGTCAACGTAATTAGCTGAGAGAGAATCCTGGAACAAACAAGCATTAACAGCCATAGGCATCCGAAGCTTCAGGGGATGTGCTGTTTTCATCATCAGGAAGTATAAAATAATGTCATTTGGTTCATAGAAACACTCTTCAAGGTAGGTGTTGTCCTTTAAAGTAGTGGCTTGAGATTATGACTCTAGAGACCAGGGTTCGAATCCCAGTTTGCCCATGTAACCTTGTAATCCCAGCTTGCCACTGGGTGACCTTCTGCAAGTCACACTCTCTCAGTCCCAGAGGAGGGCAAGGGCAAACCCCCTATGAAGAAACTCACCTTTAAGGTTGTCATAAGTCAGAAATGAACTTGAAGGCACCCAACAAGAAATATATGCAACCAAAAGAAGGCGAAAGTGTGCCACAGAGAAAGTGTGCTTTTAGTGTGGCTGAATTCTCAAGCAATATATTTAATAGACCAGATGGATCTTTGGATCTAAGATTGTCCATGAGTGGCCGAGATAATGACACTTTTGCTTTCTGATGCTCCAGTGCACACAAACTTTAGTTTCATGCACAAAATTATTTAAAATGTTATGTATAAAATTGCCTTCGGGCCATGTTTATAAGATGTATAAATGGCAAAGCATAAATGGATTTTGTGTTTAGACTTGGACCACCTCATTATGTGGTCTCCCTTGTGGTCTCTTCCATCTCTATGATTCTAAGATTCTATGATTATGGGGGAAAATACATACTACAATTGAAAATATATTAAAATTCGAGTTTGAATTACACCTAGAGCTATACCTGTTAAACATGACAAATAGAATAGACCCAAATATAGAAAGGAAATATTGGAAGATCCTCCTTTATATGGTATCAGCTACAAGTATACAAATTGCTTCAAAGTGGAAACAAAAAGAGATCCCAACAATTGATGACTGGCTTTCCAAATTAATTGAAATGAAAGAGATGGACAGATTAACAAGAATACTTAATAATAAAGATTCAGAAATAATCAATGAAGATTGGGCTCCAATAGAAGAATATTTAAAATTAAGATGGGAATAAATTGGCAAAGCTAATAAGTAGAAAGGAATCTAGATAGATATTGAAAAATAATTGTATAAAGATATGGTCTTTTTGTATTATAAGTAAGAGTATCAATTAACGAATTAAGAGATATAGAAAGATAAATTTTAAGATAAAAGAAATGTGTACTTTTGAAGAACTAAGGAGAAGTGTATAGAAATGTATATAGGTAGAAGCTGGAGAAGACTAATGTATTACATAAGTAATACTTTATGTATATTTTTAAATTAATAAATATAATTTAAAAAAAGACTCTATGATTATGTATAATAATGCAAATATTCCAAAATCTGACAAAATCCAAAAACCTTGTAGTTTCAAGCATTTCGGGTAAGGGAGACTCAACTGCCTGTACTTGATAAGGGGGTCCAGTGTCCTCACCCTGTGTGCAGAAGACTGGGATAATAATAATGATAATAATAAATATCGTCATCATCTGTGTCCATCTAACTCACAAACCACTAAAACTACACCATGAGAAAAAGCTAATGACCCTGCGCTACCATCCCCGACCTGCAGGTGGCGCTGGGACAAAAGGGGATGCTCCTCTGAGGTGGCTGCACTACCACCCGTGAGCTGCAGGTGGTGCTGTGGTAGACCTCTGGGACTTAGCCAGAAAAGGCTGGGCGGCCCCTTTGAGGTGGCTACATTACAACCTCCGGGCAGCAGGTGGCGCTGTGGCAGAGAGTGCGCTGCGACTCGGACAGAAAAGGCAGGGGACGCCTCTGAGGCGGCGG